TTAAACAATAATTTAAGTGATAAAGGAACGTTTTTGTAAGCTGCACCTATTTTCAGACCTATTTCATCGCAGTTATGATGTTTAGATACAATTGCTTATAAACCTTCTATGCTACGCCATTGTGCAATAAACGAATTAAACAAACTGCAATTTTGTATTATGACTTGATCCATCGTAAGACAGAAGAAGACACAAAGGAATAAACCAAGGGATCCAATAATGGGGATCCACATGGTGTTATAATTTAACGCAGGCAGGATGCTGTGCTGAGCCAACCACATATGATTTCAACTATTTACTAATTCGACACTTCCTTTCTTTCGATTAGTTTGCGGAAATGCACACCTTGAAAATTTTCCAAGTGTGAACAGGAAGCCATCTTTCTCGTAGTCAATGACCAGTTCATTGGGCTGTTGTGACACAGCATAGCTGAGAGGAGTTCCTGTTGGATCGCTCGACATCATCCAAAAACACACAGTGAAGTTTGTCAACCGAGGCATTCCCGATACGCTGATAAAATCATCAACTCCTTTCTTGGGAAAATATAAAGAACTATCTGAAAATGAAAATTTCACGAGAATGGATAAATTGTTACATTTTGGAGAGGGATACTCTTTGGATATATGGAGGCAATATGAAGCGAATCCTATGTTCTTATTGGCTACTAGAGTAGGCAAGAGGGGCCCATCTTGCCTGCTCAGAGGCGCTTGGAGCGGACTTACAAAGTTCGTAATTCTCGGAAAATGTCGGAGATGAAGTCGCAAAAAAAGACGGCAGAAGATGGTCAAAACAAAGAAAACATAAAGTACACTTGTTGCTTTGTTGTGCTACAAACACATTTGGCTTTCTTTTCTGAATCTCAAAATAAACAAGTCATTCTCGATCGTTAATAAAGAGAAATCTTTTTTCCATGTGATAAATCGAAAAAAATTGAAGAGAACTCGGCAAATATCTTGAGCTTACTCTACCCGGAAAATATCTTGAGCTCACGCTACCCGGCAAATATCTTGAGCCATCTTGACCTCACGCATCTCCATTAACGCACATGAATTGCACATTTCTATTCATATTTTATTTCCAAAATTTAAAGTGTAGTCATGATGTAAAGAGCACCCGTAATTTGATTACCTAAATCCTGACGTTTACACCGTAATTTTGGTCTTAATAGTTTCTGAATCATCAATCTAGTTCTTTGTCACTGTGGGAAAGTACACGACGTTAAGCTACGTGTTCATGATGCGAAAAACAGTCAGAAAGTCCGCGTTAAAAACAAGGGATAATGCTCCGAGCGGCTAGGTTGCAAATATTGACATTTTTTCTGAGTGGCGATGGTTTTCTCAACGGCCTGGCTCATTTGCATATTGGCAATTTACATTACGATTCACTTAATAAAACATTTCATCCTGTACAGGTGGAATTTATGCTCGCAATGTGGGGTTGCCATCCTCGAAATAAACATTCATTTTATTAAAGTTGCTTTCTCTTCACGTGAACATTATGTAACAAGAATCGAGCTGAACCGAATCTTTTGGCCACACAGTGTGATATCTTTATTTTAACTGCTGCTCCTAATTCATTAACATAAAGTAGACTGAAAATTTCATTAAAATTAGAACAATAGATAGTGTTTTTAATATCAATGACTGCCCGACATAACTAGAAGACGTGATCGGTTCCAAATTCAACCCAAAGCCGGAGAAGGAAATTTAGAAACCTTCTCAAAATAGGACACGACATCTTTTTGTAATTATTCTCTCTTTGTAATAATCCTTTAAAAGATGATAAATTACCTACTTAATACATGAATCTCCGGAGGCTTCGTCAGGAACTGAGAGGCAAAAACGGTACAGTTTCAAATAAACTCTAACATCTTCGTTTACTCACCCTCAATGGCAGAACTTGATGACCTTGCTGCTGTTATGTTTGATCCAGTGGCATAGGTGAAAGTGTGTAAAACCTGTTTTACCCAATAAGAAAGTACTAATGTGGAACGAAAGAAATAAGCATCAGATTTTCGAAATATGTTTTTATCCTTAAACAATAATTCACATTACGTACCACATAAAGGTACAAAAGCAGTATTTCTATCATATTTCCTTCAGTAGTGCTTCACTTCTTTCTCTGTTAACACAGTCTCCGCATGCTACAAATCCTCTGAGGAGTACTCACAATGAATTTTCAGACGTGCAATAGTTTGTTTTACTTTCGGTAAAAAGTAGTTTTGAAATACGTTGCAATTTGGTGTAGAATTATTAATCTTGACGTTACCGCAGAAGTCTCGACAGGCGTAAGGTGTCTAACGGAAAAACACGCTCTACTCAAGTATTAAAGCACGCGGAAAATTTGTGTTATCTAGCTGCTATCTTCGAGAAGGTGACACTTTGTAAAACAAAGTGGTCACGTTCTAATTCCTTTTCCAATGCAGTCTTATGAAAATTCATTAGTGTACAAGGTCCACAATTACGACTTTTGCACTTAGCCGCTGGCTAGGCTTTACATGAGCAAATTGTTATTATTATTATTATTATTGAACGGAATAACGCATCGTAATTAATGACTTATGTCTCAGACTTTCTGAACAACAATTTCGGTCTCAGTGAAGAATTCTAATGTGGTTCTTAAAATTTTATGAGCTATTTCCCTTGAAAGATAATTTTCTTGGGTTACTAAGAATTATTTTTCATTAGTTTGGTGTCAGTGTTTGAATTTAAATGACGACTCACTGGGAACTTTGTATGTTAGCGCGGAGTAAAAACTAACCTATTCACTGGTTTACCCCCTACTATTTTATTAAAGCTTCAAACGTCCCGTAGTCTTTGTATCAGCTTCCTGATTAAACGAAATGTATGAAAATTAGTCTGGAACTCTCTGGCGAGGCTCTAGGGTGTGCTAGGGGAATATATATAGATTTATTTTCTAGAACAATATAAAGCTGATAAACAAAGGGTTTAATCATTTAAACACATGCTGCTTATTTTTGTGGATTTTCTCAGCTATTTTTTTTTTCAGAGAACAAGGACATCGATGATAATTTTCTCGAGTTTTTTTTTTGATAAATAAACTCTGTCCTTTTAAGTCAACTCAAAACATGGCTATGATAATGATACAAGAACCAAGTGGCTCCTACTGATTGAGGAATTTTAAAATACAATACATGTGTTTTAATTTTTGGCGTTCTAAGTGTTACCTTTTCACATTGTAATTTATTTCTCCGCCGGCTGTCTCTAAAGAATTTTCGAGGCTGGTGACCGGGACGATGAGGCAAAAGCGCCAGTAAGAGCTAGCCTCTTTAGCAAGCCGTGCACCGAAAGATTCAGTGTGATTTTCTTTTCCATTGTCTACGCCGCTAGCGTGGGAGTCGTTTTCCTACATTATCTTCCGAATCCTCTCTGAATTTTTGCAACAAGGGACGAACAAATCTGGAAGATCATGTGGGGTTCCAGCTTAATTTATAAAGGTTCAAACAAAGGTTGGGAGGAATTTTTATAACGTGGAAGACAATCGATCGGGGCAAGGAACTAAGACGTTTACTCAGTTAAATCTACATGGTAACTGACTATGAATATTTAAGTAGTTGAACTTTGATGACGCATATCCTGCTAAGTTTTACAATGTTACTTATCTTATTACAACAGCAATGCAGGTGGTGCTAGTCTTTTCTCTAGTTTTCCGTAGTTCTCCTCTTCGTGCGTGCATGCGCATATAACTTCACTTAACGTCAAGTTTGGTAGTTCGCAGCGCATAAGACTCTCTTACGTATAATCCATTAAAAAAAATTCATAGGTTCTTATATTGTAGAGATTCTCTTGAATGCTTTTAGAATTATTTTTCGAAGTGGAATAACTATGCATTTTATATTTCTAATTAGTATAATTTCAGAGCTGAGCAAAGAGTTTCCAGCAATCATTATTCGACGATATTCACCTCGCCTTCGGCGAATAATTGTTAAATATAGACGGCTATACAGACAGAGTATTTATACACAACCTTTGCAGAGTGACATTTGAAAGTGAAGACAAAAATAGTCACTGACACGAGCACATGTGACAATCCGTCATGCAAAGGGATTGTTCATTATCATCCAATCAGAGAAGAGCACATTAGCCATCATTCAACCCAAATCTGAAAGACATTGAATATTTATTCACGGGACTGTTTTGAGTAATACTGTGTACATTGTAAATGCCAGCATTTCAATTCGCTTTGAACCCGAAAAGACCAGATGTCACCAATTGCTTGGTGACCGTTCACGCTGCCTAGTAACCGTTCCTCCCTATGGAGATGCCATGATTTCGCTTCGATCTCAAGTGTGATTCTATTATTTTGACTTCTCTATTCAACATTTTTCTCTGGCCAAACGGTTACGTAAAGGCGGACTAGTCTGTTATCTCAAGGATGAAGGGATGTTATTGCGATTAAAAAGGTCTACTTTTCGTTAACCCTTTGAATACGAAAAAACCATATTTTTTCAGTTGTAATTTGGCGATACAAACTTAACCTCACTTTGTTGGTCCTTACATGGAGCATCCGTTACAATATTTTCGGTTTTGAGACACCATGGGCTCAGACCTTGGGGTCACATGTCCTAGATCAACAGTTCGTGTTGACAAAGCTGAATAATAAAATGCTACGTCAGCGGGTATGCTACGTCAGCGGGTATGGAGGCGGTGTGGCTGAGTGGTTAGAGTGTCGGACTCGTAATCCGCCGCTCCCGGCTTCGAGTCCCACCCTGACCAGTGGATTTGTTTCACGGTAACCCCGAGTTCAGATCCTTGGCCACGCTTGTAAATAGCCAACTGGTTTGCCTCCGGCCGGTTGGGGTTCTTAATGATGTTCTTTTATTAATGATGTTATGTTCAATTTAGACCATGTGTTTCATTTGTTTGCAAGGACCACAATGGAAACTACTGGTTCACCAGTAGTTGTTTAATTCAAAACTTTGCCATGCAATTTTGGGCAAATGAATGAACTTACTTGCATTGGTATTGTGGTTGCACCCGTCCAGATTATGCCCAGTGCACAATAAAGTACAAATTTGGCAAAAAATATCATTGTTTGATACCAAAATTAGCCTGAAATTCAACTTTTAACGTTAAACAAAGTTGCAAAGATTGTCCTTACACGCTTAAGATCTGCCATGTTGAAAAATGTTTTCCCTTCGAATAACCGCAGAAGAGCAATTGAAACAGTGGTTGTAAACATCACGTGACTTGAAGGACGCCGGGAGTATTTTCAAGAGGAAGAGTGATGGCTACCACTGTTGTGCTGTGACGGAGGTCACCTGTAAATCTAAAAGGCCTTCTAGATACAAGGTCGCCATGGAAAGGCCACCCTCACCAACATATATCCTTGCACTCTTACTTCTGTTATCATGGTTGTTAAAATGCCTCTGCTGTATTCTTAACTCGGATGATGAAATAACCTCTGAGCAACCTTTAGGATTCCCGAAGGAAACCTACGATTATTTCTCTCCTCACCCACTTAATTCTCCAGGGGAATTATTCCGACTTTGAGGTAACATTTAATTACTTTAAATACACCAAATTCATTGCTGAACTGACACCTTCTACACAAGGAAGTGACAAACAAGTACTAATCACAATTCAAAGATCCTTGATTTTGTGTTTTTTTTTGACTATTTTTTTTTAGAATAAAATTGCGACTACCTCACCAAAGAACTGTCTTGAAGTTGGAATTACTTGGAAACCATTTGCTAGGTCTTAACTCATCATGCTCTGTTTTATGCTCTAGCTGGATTATACAGTTTTGAAATGTAAATTGTATGTAGCATGTCTGGTTTCCCACTCTTCTGAAAGTTAAATGCTGTGCACCTAAACTACGCATCGAAAGAACGAGAATAAAGAATTAACGAACAAAACAAATGCTGCTGCTTGTGTTACTATTCGATAGCTATTTTGTTTTAAACTATTAATCTGCAATACTTGTCCGAAAGCAAGATTCTCAAGTATGTTTCAAGCCTCGCTCTGATGATGAAGCTTATGTTGATTTAAAGCTGCTGGTTGGACTCCACTGTTTCGGAGTTTCCCATTCTCATTCATTTAAGCAAGGTCTGAAGCACAACGATTACATTAATTTGGATGTGAATTTCCTCACTTTAACAAGACATGAGAAAAGTCAAAACATGACACATTGAAAGAAAAAGAAAATAACGCTGAATGGAAATTGGCTTACAACTAATCATACATTTCATCAGGGGTAAAAAGAGAAGTCCTTACTGGTGAAAAAATTAATATTTGCGATCAAATATCCATTGATCACACAATTTTTAGCTATGGAAGTCGTTATTGAAGCAGTTTCCTCAATTAAACTGAGATTGACAGGCACATCTTCCATGTTTCTTTCAACATTTGGTTGCCCCACCATATCATTATTAATCATTCCAAAGGGGCTACTCTGATGAATCAAGAGTTTGTAAATGCGGTAAATATGAATTATGACCATTTCTTTTTCGTTGAACAAATTTTCGGCTTTAGTTTCTTGTTTTCTTTGTCCATATTAGTTCTGTACGTGATAATTAATGATAAGTTATTGTCCATATTTCAAGAGTAAAGAAATTTCCTAATCTTCCAGAGAACGGAAAGCTTGTTGCATTTGCTCGTTGAGTTCTGCAAAATCCGCCTTTATCTTGCTCTCGCCATCTTTGACAGGGTCCTGTGCAAAAACGATAAAAATTGTCCT